TCTCCGGCCCAGCTTTTAAGGTCATAGCGTGGAGGCGGTCAGAGCGAAGATACAAAGACACTGCGGCACTCCGCATTGACAAAGTAATCACTGTGGCAGTCGGTCACAGGCACGACACCCCAGGAAGGCTGGCATGCGTTTAGGCTACACTCCTAACAATAAACACCACTATCAGAAATTGATTTGGCAACCAATACTAATAGAAGCCAGAGTTCGACCGTCACATCTGACAAAGTCCGCAGGGACGGCGACTTGCGCGTGGATTAGTTTTAGGATACCGCCTGCCCCTGCATTGGTCCAGCGCATCTAGCCCGCTGTCCGTTTAGGGAGCTAGCTAATAGAATAGAATGCCCAATAAAACAAGGGACGCACTTGTCTCGTTGTGCCTTGCAGCTCACTCTCGAGCCCTGCCAGTAGTCGCAGTGTCCAGTAGAATAGACAGAAGAACATTACCAACAAGGACAAGAGACGATGGAATGGCCACTTCTGACTTAGTAACCCTCATTAGCCAGTCATACCCAATCCTAGGGGTAGCAGTCCCTGAGATTCGAATCCACGACCAGTCGGCTAGAAGTCCAAAGCCCTAACTACTGCGTCACAGGCTACTTACCTTGTTTGTTTTGATCAAAAATTCTAATATTTGGGGATATATGTATGTATGTGGCATTTACATCAATGTGCCGATCGATGGATGCTTCATCTGAGTGCGATGTTTCCAGAAATTTAAGGCCCTTTCTGTTTGGGCAAGTGCCAACAATCCGAGTGTTCTTTAACCCCAAATGATAGCCAAAGCCAATAGTTAGCCACGAAGGTGCTCGATCGAAATGAAAAAAAATTGGCGGAGAATTGATTTGCTTAATGGTGTGTTCCATGCATATCAGAACAGCCGGTGTTCCAGACGGTAGATGACTTATTCCAAACTAAGCATATTAAAACTCACTTGGGTGACTTGTCTGCGTCCGAGTCCGAGTCCTCTTCAGAACTGCTGCTCGAACTGGAAGATGAGGAAGAAGAAGAGGAGGAGGAAGAGGACTCTGGAGCATTTGGCAGGGGCTGGGCGGTGTCCATTTTGTCCGCAATGAGTGCCAACTCAGGTCTCTGTTGACGAAGGGCACGAAGCCAGCGCTGGGCAAACTTTGGTCGCTTGCGTTGGGTCTTGTGCCACACGAAGGGAAAGTTGACGGTACTAGACATGCAAAAGGATTGCAAGTTTGTAACTGTGAGCAGCATTTGAAAAGCCGTGTAACGCCTATGTCTATTAGATCTGTGCAGAAAGTGAAAGGGCGACATTAGAAGTAATGGGGAATATCCCAGTCAGATTCAGCGCAAATGAAGGACAAGCTAGGGGACGTTAACTTTAGATATGCAATACATGTGTTATTTCATGAAGTGTAAATCGAAATTATAAAGTGCTTTTTTGATTATAAAAGATTGGTTAGGTAGGGTTGTAATATTATTGCAGGGCATATGCATAAGATATATCAGTCACGTCAGAATGCCAGATTCGTGGCGAGCTTCACTTGGGTAGCTTGGAACAAATTAAATCAATAAAGATTAGCTACTTATTTTGTATGAACTTTTTTCGTGTGTTTATCATTTCGTACGAATTGAAACTTATTTTATAGGAAACGCATGAAAATATTTTTGCTTGAAGTTATTTTGCAGTACACTACCTCCTCCTAAAGCTTACTATTTAGGTTAAAAAAAACATCTTCCAATTCCCGAATAATTTTTAGCCCTACCAGCTGTGAAGACCTGCATTCGGGGCCTTCAAACCAGAAGCTGCATATTTTTAGAGAAAGGCAAATCATATACAGTGGAGCTTCGGGTGACGAGCAGCCCCATCTACGAACATCTCAGGTAACGAGCGAGCCATTAAGAAAAATGCTGTGTCTCTTGACGAGCTTTCGCTCAGTTAATGAGCTGTCAGTGCGTGTGCGTGTGAGTGTCTGTGTCCGCGGTTGAGTCTTGCTACCAGGGTCCTCGGTCGCCTGCATCCAATCAGTGAAGTGATGCAGTTTGATTGGCTACTTTTCGCAAGACGAGCGTTTTGCGTGACGAGCTCGATACCGGAATTGATTAAACTCGTTAACCGAGGTTTCACTGTATTTAGACACCCTTTTCAGAAGACGTCATATAGAAATCATCTAATTGCATAGTGGACGTAGACCATGTTGCATACTTCACAACCAGCATTTATGTATGGACAGATACGATGCTTAATGAATGAACGTTTCACTGCAGTCAGGCCAGCAGGCTGGCTGTTGGATAAGGTCATTTCCGGTCACCTGCATAAACCACACTCGGTAAAATGACGATGTAAGTAGTACGAAATTTTACATTTATTTTCTGCACCCCCATAAATTCGAACATGTTTTGTGGAAAACATGCACCTAAATATTTTGTTTAGTTGTATTCTTTTTGTATTTTCTACCTGTGACTGACTCACACAGTGCTTCACTGCAACGACTGCCACGCTCACACACTTCGGATGCGGGCCCCCTCGCGGGTGGTCGTGAGCTCGTTCGACTGTCAACTTCTTCCTACCTATTCCCCACTATTTCTATACAGAATACACTATGCCTCCCACCTGGCGTCCCATTTCTTCTTTTCCCACACGGAACCGGTTCTAAAAATAATAGTGGCGAGAGTTGAACCTATTAACTTAAGCCACTACGATAG